GCGGCATTTAATGGCCTTGTAGCTTCAAAGCCTGGCTGGTTGCTGCCTGGGGGAATCCTTTGTTGGGAGGTGTTAGCTGGCCCTGATTGATTCTTGTCTGGAATTCCCCTGCTTTTTGAGTGTTCCTCTTTATTTACAGTCCTGATTTTAGAGTTTGTTTTAATACTGCTGGCCAGAAACCAGGTAGAAGAAACTATGGAAAGGAACAAAACCTGGGCTCGATGTGGTCTCAGCTCCTTCCCATCTCTATCACGGTGCCATGCAAGGTTCAGTGTGGCCAGCAAGCGGACACGCCTTAGGCTCCATGTTTGATGCCAGGCGAAGGGGCGGGGGTGGCGTGTGGAGACTGGCAGCCTCTCCCCCGCCTGTCAGTGGCTGGCACAACAAAATGGGGGTTTGCTGCCTCACTTTCTCTCTCAGCAGGAGAAGGGGGGTCTCCATGAGGCCCTGGGTTGGTGGGTTGAGGGAGACCCCTCCTCAAAGGTAGGGAGCATCCTTATGTATTTTTGAGTGGAGCAGGAAAGGGGACGAGCCCCCTCCCCAGCAAATGCCTGGGCCTCTCGACTGCCCCCTCCCCACACTTCAGCAGGATGGGGGAGGGAGGCTAAGAGACGGAGACCCACATGTTTGTCTCCACTCAGCAAAGGAGTGGAAGGCAGAGCGGGGAGCGCAAGAGTGGGAGGCAGCTTGTGTATCCCTGAGTGCGTGTGTGAGTGAGTGAGTGAGTGAGTGAGTGAGTGGGAGGGAGGGAGCATGCGCAAAGGCTCCTATCTTGCAAAAAGAGGGAGGAACCCCCTCCTCCCAGCCCAGGCTGCCCCTCAAAGCCCCCCTCTTCCCTCCCCAGCTATTTCAGATTGGGAGGGGTCCTGAGAACCCCCATCCCCACAGAGAGAATGGAGAAGGGCTGATTCAGGAGCAGAAGGGCGTAAACATCATCATATTTGGATGTGTTTATTTGGGTCCTGCCTCTCTTTCCGGCTTGGCACGGTCAAGCACATCTTGCTCTTGTGGGACCGGCGGCTCAGCTGAGCATGGCCACTGGAAGATGAGTGCCGCCTCCTGCCCAAATGCCCCCAGTTTTGACTGTGACCCAGGTGTAGCCTGTGGCACCTGCGCCTGCTTCTAAGCTGGGTCCTGAGCAGCCTGCATTAGGAGGCTAGCATGGAAGGACCCCATCCTGGTCCTTCCGAAGGGGCATCGAGGAGGAAAGAGTCCCTGCATGGCCAGCTTGCTTGGCTTCTTCTCTGCCAGTGTGAGCCCGTGTCCTGGCTGCCTTTGCTCTGTCCCAGTCCTGCCACTGGTAGCACTGGTGCAGGGCCGTCGCAAAAGGCCCCTTTGATGGACAACTGAGGCAGGGGCAGGTTGGCCCACTCATAGAATCATAGTTGGAAGGGACCACATGCGCCATCCAGTCCAATTCCATTCTGCCCAGAAGCAGGACAATCGTGTTCAAAGCACCCCTGACAGATGGCCATCCAGCCTCTGTTTAAAAGCCTCCATAGGATCAATAGTCTCTAGACCTAGGAAAGTCATGCTCCCCATGCTCTATTCCGCCTTGGTTAGACCACACCTGGAATATTGTGTCCAATTCTGGGCACCACAATTCAAGAGAGATGTTGACCCTAAGCTGGAATGTGTCCAGAGGAGGGTGACTAAAATGATCAAGGGTCTGGAGAACAAGCCCTGTGAGGAGCGGTTTAAGGAGCTGGGCATGTTTAGCCTGAAGAAGAGAAGGCTGAGAGGAGACATGATAGCCATGTATAAATCTGTGAGAGGAAGCCACAGGGAGGAGGAGGGAGCAAGCTTATTTCTTGCTTCCATGGAGATTAGGACGAGGAACAATGGCTTCAAACTACAAGAAAGGAGATTCCATCTGAACATAAGGAAGAACTTCCTGACTGTGAGAGCCATTCAGCAGTGGAACTCTCTGCCCCGGAGTGTGGTGGAGGCTCCTTCTTTGGAAGCTTTTAAACAGAGGCTGGATGGCCATCTGTCAGGGGTGATTTGAATGCAATATTCCTGCTTCTTGGCAGAATGGGGTTGGACTGGATTATGGCCCATGAGGTCTCTTCCAACTCTTTGATTCTATGATTCTATAGAAGGAGCCTCCACCACACTCTGGGGCAGAGAGTTCCACTGCTGAACAGCTCTCACAGTCAGGAAGATCATCCTTGGAATCTCCTTTCTTGTAGTTTGAAGCCATGGCTCCATTGCGTCCTAGTCTCCAGGGCAGCAGAAAACAATTTATTTATTTTATTTACACCATTTCTACCTGAGGGGGGGGGGACGGGGGACTCAGGGCGGCTAACACAGGCAGCAATTCGATGCCACAATTATCAGTAACACAATGTAAAATCATAATATATAGCAGATTAAAAACAGTAACATTGTATTGTCGAAGGCCTCTAGAACATGGCCATATAGCCTGAAAAAACCTACAACAACCCAACAGTAACATTAATTATAATTACATAATCGCATAGCCATATAGTCACATAGTTACAAAATCACATAGTCAAATAGCCGTTCCCAATTGTTGTAACAGTCCTGCGGTCCGTGTTCAGTGTCTAAAGTGCTGCTGTGCCCACTAGCCAAAGGCCTGGTTCCACAAACACGATTTTAGTTTTTTTCTAAAAAAAAATTAGGGAGGACCCTGATCTGATCTTGCTGGGGAGTGAATTCCACAAGAGGGGGGCCACCACTGAGAAGGCCCTGTCGCTCATCCCCACCAGACACGTTTGCGAAGCTGGTGGGACCGAGAGCAGGGCCTCCCCAGTAGATCTTAAATTACGAGGTGGAATGTAGAGGGAGATACAAGCTTGCTCTCTCCTCCTTATGACTTCCCCTCACATATTTATACATGGCCCTCATCATGTCTCCTTTCAGCCTTCTCTTCTTTAGGCTAAACATTTATTATTTACAATTTATTTACAACAAATACCAGTTTTTAAATACTGGTAATAAAAGGAACATGAAAGGCACTGCAGACTCCTTCAACCAGAGAAGTCAGCCATAGCAGAGCACCTGAGGAACCAACCTAGACACAGCAGATTATCTGAGAACACAGATAACACAAAAAAGGAGCCTCCACCACACTCCGGGGCAGAGAGTTCCACTGCTGAACGGCTCTCACAGTCAGGAAGTTCTTCCTCATGTTCAGATGGCATCTCCTCTCTTGTAGTTTTACACTCCAATCAAGTGTAAAATTACTTGAGGACACAGAAATGCTGGACCACTCTGACAACTATCATGTCAGACTACACAGAGAAGCCACTGAAATCCACAAGAAGCAGGTGGACAATTTCCACAGAAAGGAGGAAACTGTGAAAATGAACAAAATCTGGCTACCAGTATTTAAAAAACTCTAAAATTACAACAGCACAACAACAGAGAGGAAATAAACAAGGACATCTAATCACCTCTCAACAAAAGTTTTCTCCAGGCACTGTCAGGCCATTATATGCTAACCAAGGTGGTCAGTTAAAACGTTCACACCTAGTTCCAGCAGACAAGAGTTCTTTGCCCCACCCTGGTCATTCCACAGATATATAAACCCTTTTTCCTACTTCCAACAGACCTCACTACCTGTGAGGATGCTTGCCATAGATGCAGGCGAAACGTCAGGAGAGAATACCTCTAGACCATGGCCATATAGCCCAAAAAACCTACAACAACCCAGTGATTCCAGCCATGAAAGCCTTCGACAATACATTATTATTATTATTATTATTATTATCATCATCATCATCAGAAGCCCCTGGCAGAGTCCAAGGTAGAGTCTGTCTCCCTCCCTCGCACACTCATGCTCCCTTGCGCCTCTGCATCTGCACACAAACACACTTACAGTGACCCATGCCTCCTGTTTTATTCCTTCCTTCCAGCGAACATGGAAAGGACCCTCGTCTTCCTTTGGTCCCTGCTGGTCCCAGTGATGCTGGCGGATGGTACGTAGCCTCTTCCCCATCGGTTCTGAGTTGGGATATGGGAGGGGGATGCAGGCCCTGTCCTTCTTGGGGAGGGGGGCATTTATACTGGTGGCCCTTCTGTGGCCACTCCATCCTGGGGTGGTCCTTCTGAGGCAGGCATCGGCAAACTTGGGCCTTTCAGGTGTTTTGGACTTCAACTCTCACAATTCCTAACAGTCTCAGGCCCTTTTCTTCCTCCCCACCCCAGCCCTTTAGAGTCAGTGGGCCAAAGTTAGTACATACTTACTTACTTAGGCGATCCCTCGTAGTCCGAGGATGATGGTCCTCCAAGTTCGGTGTCCTGGGGGTGGGTTCGTAGGTGGCTGTGGAGCCCTATTCTTGCCCTGCATCTTCTCCCACAGTGAGGGCATCTGTTTCCAGGTGGGAGGCGGTCTTGGTTGGGGTTGGCTTGACGCGCCTTCCTCTTGGCACGTTTCTCTCTTTCACCCTCCATTCGTGCCTCTTCAAATTCTGCAGCACTGCTGGTCGCAGCTGACCTCCAGCAGGAGCGGTCAAGGGCCAGGGCTTCCCAGTTCTCAGTGTCTATGCCAGAGTTTTTAAGGTTGGCTTTGAGCCCATCTTTCAATCTCTTTTCCTGCCCACCAACATTCCGTTTTCCGTTCTTGAGTTCAGAGTAGAGCAACCGCTTTGGGAGACAGTGGTCAGGCATCCGGACAACGTGGCCAGTCCAGTGGAGTTGATGGCGGAGGACCATTGCTTTGATGCTGGTGGTCTTTGCTTCTTCCAGCACGCTGATGTTTGTCCGCCTGTCTTCCCAAGAGATTTGCAGGATTTTCCGGAGGCAGTGCTGATGGAATCGTTCCAGGAGTTGCATGTGACGTCCGTAGTCTATCCACGTCTTACAGGCATAGAGCAGGGTTGGGAGGACAATAGCTTTATAGACAAACACCTTGGTCTCCCTACGGATGTCCCGGTCTTCAAACACTCTCTGCTTCATTCAGGAAAATGCTGCACTCGCAGAGCTCAGGCAGTGTTGTATTTCGGTGTCGCTGTTGACTTTGGTGGAGAGTGGCTGCCAAGGGAGTGGAAATGATCAACATTTCTAATGTTACACCATTAAGCTGTATCGCTGGCATAGGAGAGGGTTGGCTAGTGACTACTGGAACAGCACTTTGGTTTTCTCGATGTTCAATGACAGGCCAAAGCTAGTGTCAACCTGAGGAGTGTGAGGTAAACCTCAGTGTGAGAGACGCCTTGTGCGAGAAAGCTTCAGTGTAAAGGATGCTGTGTGTAAAGCTACTATGCATTTGTTTATTTGTGAAATGGAAACCTTATCTTTGTAAATAATGCAACCATATTATTAAAGGAAAGGGCCTGAGGCTGTTAGGAATGATGGGAGTTGAAGTCCAAAACACCTGGAGGACCTAAGTTTGCTCATGCCTCTTCTGAGGGTTTTCCGGGCCTCCCTTTCCTCTCTTCTCTACCTTGGCAGTCAAAAGAGGGGCTAAGCTTTGTTGTCTTGGCCACATAAGGAGACTCCCAAGGCTGTCAAATCATGCATTTAGCCCCCTCCTATTGTTCCGAAGCCCCAACCGTTCTCATGCTGGAATGACCTGATTCTGCTCTGTCCCTCTCTTTGCTCTTTCCAGTCACTGACCAAGAAAAGGAGAAGGACCCCTTCACCTATGGTGAGCCTCTGCTGCCCACTGGGGGGAAGGGGCATGGTGTGTCTGGGCCTGGAGGGGCTCCCTGCCCACCCTCACCCCTCACCCTTCTCTTTCTCAGACTACCAGACCCTCCGGATCGGTGGCCTGGTCTTTGCCGTGGTCTTCTTCACCGTCGGGATTCTGCTCATCCTGAGTAAGAGAGCCCGGTGCTGGGAAAGGGGGCGCTTTGGATGGAGGTGGGGCTGCAAGCATGGACACTTGTGGCCTCAATGGGGGAGACCTATTGCCCACTATCTAGGGGCAGCCTTTGCCCAAATTGGGGCGAGGGGAGCAAGAAGTCGCCGACCTGGGGGTTCATTGCTTTCATGCTTTCTTTTCCAGGCAGGCGGTGTAAGTGCAGCTTCAACCAAAAGCCAAGGTGAGTGGGGCGGGGTCGGGTGGGGTGGCCTCACTTATTTATTTATTTATTTATTTATTTATTTACAGTATTTATATTCCGCCCTTCTCACCCCTCAGGGGACTCAGGGCGGATCACAATGCACATCTACATGGCAAACTTTCAATGCCATAGACACACAATGTATATAGGCAGACACACAGAGGCTATTTAACATTCCAGCTTCATGAGGGTATCCTGGCCACCAGGGGAGCAGTCGCTTCACTGTCCATTTGGAAGTACTTCCTCATTCTTTGCACACTTGCTGGAGATTTTATGGCATCGTAAATTAGTTAAATTAGCCTCCCCGCATAAGCGTTACCTAAATTTCCTCTTTTGGGCTGCAAAGGTCGACAGCAAGCTACACAAATGGTCGGAAGCTCACTCTGACCCGGGCTGGCTTTGAACTCATGACCTTTCGGTCAGTAGTGATCTTAATGCAGCTGACTCCCAACCAGCTGCGCCACAGTCCCAGCGCACTTGGACTCCACTTGGACTCCACCTTCCCTTCATGACCATTGTCCAGGGTGCGGAAGGGCCAATAGCCTGCTGTCCAGTTACTGGGGGAGTGGGTCTGCAAAAGTATAATCCCCTCCCCCGGTGGCACAATGGGTTAAACCGCTGAGCTGCTGAACTTGCAGGTTTGAATCCGGAAAGCGGGATGAGCTCCTGCTGTTAGCCCCAGCTTCTGCCAACCTAGCAGTCCGAAAATATGCAAATTTGAGAAGATCAATAGACACCACTCTATCAGGAAGGTAACGGTGTTCCATGCAGTGCCACATGTTTTAGAATTACCAAGTTGGCAGAAGCTGGAGCTAACAGCAGGAGCTCATTCTGCTCTCCAGATTTCGGTCAGCAAATTCAGCATCTCAGTGGTTTAACCCACTGCGCCACCAGGGGGCAACTGATAAATAATAATAATAATAATAATAATAATAATAATAATAATAATAACATTTCATTTATATTCCGCCCTTCTCCCGACGGGGACTCAGAGTGGATTACAGTATAGAAGCAGACACAGGCAAACATTCAATGCCTTGTTACGATGAAATACCATGAGACACAAAGGCAAAGGCAAAGGCAAAGGCTTCTCCTTTCATTTCCGGCTGTGATGGCATGTTATCATTGATCCCCCTCCCAACACTATAGCCTTATTGTTCTCTTTTCCCTCTACTTTTCTACACTGATATGAGTTCGAAAGGACACTGGCCTCTTCCACACAGCTGCATAAAATCCACATTGAACTGGATTACATGGCAGTGTGGACTCAGACATTCCAGTTCAAAGCAGATATTGTGGATTATCTGCCTTGATATTCTGGGTTATATGACTTCGTGGTGCAGCGGGCTTAAACCCCAGTGGCACAACAGGTTAAACCACTGAGCTGCGAAACTTGCTGACCAACAGGTCGGCGATTTGAATCTGGGGAGCCCCAGCTTCTGCTAACTTAGCAGTTCGATAAGTTCGATGTGCCCAGTGTGGAACACATCTCACCACACTAAAACAGTGGATGTGGCTCTTAATGAGACATGCCACATTATCACGGGGTGTCTGTGCCCTACACCACTGGAGAAATTACACTGTTTAGCCGGCATTGCACCACCTGACATCCGCAGCCAGTAGTGAAAGGACCAAGGCAGAGACATCTCCAGCTCATCCCTTGTTTGGGTATCAGCTAGCACGTCAATGACTTAAATCTAGAAATAGTTTTCTAAGATCTACAGAGACACTTGCTGGAACACCTCAGCAAGCGAGAGTCCAAAAATGGCAGGCTCAAACCCAGCACCTCAATCCATGGGTGATACCAGATGAGAGACTCCCCCCTGGGCACACAGAAGACTGGGCGACTTGGAAGGCGCTGAACAGACTGCGCTCTGGCACCACGAGATGCAGAGCCAACCTCAAGAAATGGGGCCACAAAGTGGAGTCCACGACATGTGAGTGCAGAGAAGAGCAAACAACTGACCACCTGCTGCAATGCAATTCTGCCACAGGCACCATGGAGGACCTTCTTGCAGCAACACCAGAAGCACTCCAAGTGGCCAGATACTGGTCAAAGGACATCTAATCAACTACCAAACTCACACATTTTGTATTATGTATTTTGTATTTTAGTATTTTGCCTGTTTGTTTGCTTTGTTCTGTTAGAAATGTAATATAATTAACTGGTTGCTGATGACTCGATAAATAAATAGTTCGATAACATTCAAATGTGAGTGATCAAGAGGTACCGCTTATGCAGGAAGGTAATGGCGCTCCATGCAGTCCACATGACCTTGGAGGTGTCTAGGGACAACGCCAGCTCTTTGGCTTAGAAATGGAGATGAGCACCAGAGTCGGACACGACTGAACTTAATGTCATAGAATCATAGAATCAAAGAGTTGGAAGAGACCTGGCCATCCAGTCCAACCCCCTGCCAAGAAGCAGGAATATTGCATTCAAATCACCCCTGACAGATGGCCATCCAGCCTCTGCTTAAAAGCCTCCAAAGAAGGAGCCTCCACCACACTCCGGGGCAGAGAGTTCCACTGCTGAACGGCTCTCACAGTCAGGAAGTTCTTCCTCATGTTCAGATGGAATCTCCTCTCTTGTAGTTTGAAGCCATTGTTAAGCGTCCTAGTCTCCAGGGAAGCAGAAAACAAGCTTGCTCCCTCCTCCCTGTGGCTTCCTCTCACATATTTATACATGGCTATCATATCTCCTCTCAGCCTTCTCTTCTTCAGGCTAAACATGCCAAGCTCCTTAAGCCACTCCTCATAGGGCTTGTTCTCCAGACCCTTTATCATTTTAGTCGCCCTCCTCTGGACACATTCCAGCTTGTCAATATCTCTCTTGAATTGTGGTGCCCAGAATTGGACACAATATTCCAGATGTTGTCTAACCAAAACAGAATAGAGGGGTAGCATTACTTCCTTAGATCTAGACACTAGGCTCCTATTGATGCAGGCCAAAATCCCATTGGCTTTTTTTGCCGCCACATCACATTGTTGGCTCGTGTTTAACTTGTTGTTCACGAGGACTCCAAGATCTTTTTCACACGTCCTGCTCTCGAGCCAGGCATTGTCCCCCATTCTGTATCTTTGCATTTCATTTTTCCCAGAGGAAACCTTTACCTTTACCTAGTCCACCTTTTCTTATGACCTGGGGTCTCTCCCTCTCTCTCTTTCTCTGTGCAGGGCTCCTGGAGATGCAGAGGCACCTGGGGAAAATCTGATTGCCTCCAATGGTAAGAGGGAGGGGAACAGGGCAGGGAGGGCTTATCCCTCAGGAATGAACCCCTCCCCATGAATTGGAGAGGTCTGAGGCTTCAAGGATGGAGGGTGGGCAGCGCTGGCATGCACAGCTGTTCCTCATTCATCTTGTCTTTGCAGCCACCGGAGCACAAAAAGCCGAGAACTGAACACAAGCCATGAGGTGAGCTGACCCCCCCCCCCCCCCCCCACTGCCTCCTTCCTTGGTGGGACGGGGCAGCCTTGCCAACGCCTGTGTCGGACTTAGCATTTGTGGCAATGGGCCTACACTTGGGGTCCCCTGCCCCTTGTGGGTGGAGGGGGAAGGCCTTACTTTGGACCATTGGGGTTTCTAATTGCAGGGAGCCCCCCCCCCCATAACAGCCTCTGCTCCCCTCCTCTCTCTATCCAGACCCAGAGACCCAGCGACGGACTCACGGACCCCTCGCCCCCGATGCCCCTCCGCGTGGAGGAGAGTGGTGCTGCGGAGGCGCAGGGGGGGCGGACCGCTCCCTGCCTCGCATCGCCCCTCTCTCTCAGTGTGCCCCCTCCCCACGGAACAGCGCCCCCTCCTCTCCCCTCCCTCCCCATGCCAGTGCTATCCGCCCTGTGATGTTCATCCGTGGTGATTGTGGCCTCCACTTTGCTGTCGTCGTGTGAGTCTGTCGCTCCTTGCCAGCCTTGTGCCCTTGTGACATGGTGGTGGTGCGCTGCCCTTGGAGGAGAGGAGGGAGGGAGGGAGGGAGGGAGGGAGGGAGGGAGGGAGGGAGGGAGGGAGGGAGGGAGGAAGGAAGGAAGGAAGGAAGGAAGGAAGGAAGGAAGGAAGGAAGGAAGGAGGGAAGGAAGGAAGGGCAAAGGGTTTCTCCAGAAGAAGGGAGGGTGTTCTGGAACCTCCGCCTGGGGTCTCATCCTTTGCAAGGCCCAGCACAGAGACCCTTCGCACCCAAATGGGGGTCTCTTCCTTTCTGGCTCAAGACAGATCTGGGAAGCAGAAGACCCTCCCTCACTGAAGGTGTTCAGGTGGGTCTGGTGTCCCCAGCCCCATGCTCTTCACATCCGTCTATTGGCAATATTGTCCTGCTTTGCAGAGTGTTTTCCCAGAGTGCTTTGCAAAACCTCCACGAGAACAGAGAAGACACTATGGTTGGCACGGGCCAACTTGGGCCCTCCAAGTGTTTTAGATTTCAAATCCCACAATTCCTAACAGCCTCAGGCCCTTTCCTTTCATAATATGGTTGCACTATTTACAATAATAAGGTATCCATAAACGAAATAAACAAATACATAGTAGTTTTCCACACAGCAGCTTTCACACTAGAGCTTTCTCACTGGGGGCTTCTCTCACACTGAGGTTTACCTCTCACTCCTCATTCCTAACATCCTCAGGCCCTTTCCTTTTATTATTATTTGCATTTGTTAACCGCCACTCTCAGCCCGAAGGCGACTCGTGGCTTTCCTTTAATAATATGGTTGCACTATTTACAATAATAAGGTTTTCATAAACGAAATAAACACATACATAGTACTTTTCCACACAGAGCTTTCTCACTGGGGGCTTCTCTCACACTGAGGTTTACCTCTCACTCCCCAGGATGAAAGTAGTAGACTTCAACTCCCACCATTCCTAACAGCCTCAGGCCCTTTCCTTTCATAATATGGTTGCACTACTTACAATAATAAGGTTTCCATAAACGAAATAAACACATACATAATACTTTTCCACACAGCAGCCTTCACACTAGAGCTTTCTCACTGGGGGCTTCTTTCACACTGAGGTTTGCCTCTCACTCCTCAGGATGAAAGTTTTAGACTTCAACTCCCACCATTCCTAACAGCCTCAGGCCCTTTCCTTTAATTAATTAATTAATTAATTAATTTACTTTATTTGTATACCGCTGTTCTCAGCCCTTAGGTGACTCACAGCGGTTAACAACAAGAACAGCAAAAATTCAATGCTACCCTAACACAGTATAAAAGACAGTTAACATCATAACATATTATAGAAAAGTATACAATTAACAACAATATACAATTAACACCAATAGCCATTCACTAGCGTCTCATCACTAAAAACATGATCCAGATCCGTCATCCATTGTTCCATTCCTATGTTCATTACATTCATTGCACTATTTGAATGCCTGCTCAAACAACCAGGTTTTCACGTTTTTAGACAATACCATTAATGATGGAGCTAGTCTAATGTCCGTGGGAAGGGCATTCCACAGCCGTGGGGCCACCACTGAGAAGGCCGTATCTCTCATCCCCGCCAGTCCCCGCCATAATATGGTTGCACTATTTACAATAATAAGGTTTCCATAAACAAAATAAACACATACATAGTACTTTTCCACCCAGCAGCCTTCACACTAGAGCTTTCTCGTTAGGGGCTTCTTTCACACTGAGGTTTACCTCTCACTCCTCAGGATGAATGTTCAACTCCCACCATTCCTAACAGCCTCAGGCCCTTTCCTTTCATAATATGGTTGCACTATTTACAAAAATAAGGTTTCTATAACACAAAGAAACAAATACATAGTCGCTTTCCAGCCTATACACTGGAGCTTTCTCACACAAGGCTTCTCTCACACTGAGGTTTACCTCTCATTTCCCAAGATGACACTAGCTTTTGCTCGCTGACTCTAACAGGCTTTAGCCTACTGACTCTTTTCAGTTAAGCTTAAATGGCTGAGGGGGGAAAGGAATGGTGGGGTTTGAAGTCCAAAACACCTAGCGGGAGGACCCAAGTTTGCCCATACCTGCCCTATGGTGAAGGAAGGAAAGAAAGAAAGAAAGAAAGAAGGAAGGAAGGAAGGAAGGAAGGAAGGAAGGAAGGAAGGAAGGAAGGAAGGAAGGAAGGAAGGCAGTCCTAGCCTCTGCTTTGGGGGTAGGCTGTGCTGGGCAAATCCCAGGGCACCATTTCTCCAGTGGCTTCCAGGTGCCACCCCTCCTTCCCTCAAAGGCGCAGCTGCCCCCAAGCTTTGGCTTTGTGCCCCCTCCCTTTCACGCCCCACGTCGCCTCGTGGCCTGTCTGTCATGTGCCCCTCGTCGTCGTCGTGTGCCGTTGGTGAGCAGCCGTTCCGGGGCCAGCCGTGCAAATGTCGTGACCCTGACCTCTGGCCCTCTTCCGAAGACCCTTCCCTTGTGGTCGAGGACCTCTGCAGTATTCTTATTATTATTCTTATTATTCTTCTTAATTATTATTATTTGTCTGTGTTGTGTCTCACAACCCGAGAAGGGAACAAAGAGAACATGGAATAAAATCTTGTTTCTATTTCAAGGGCTCCTCTGCCTCTTTCTTGGGGGGGGGGATGTTGGCGGAGGGCGGAGAAGGGGGAATCTGAGGGCCCACCCCAAGCGAGGCCCCGCCTCTTTGGAGGGCATCCATGTGGCTCTTGGGAGGCTGCCCAGAAGAGGCCTCGGAGGGCTTTAATTGGCTGTCCGAACAAGACTAATGGGCCGGAGCCACAGGGTCAGCGCCGGACCTGGCTCACGTTGGGTGGAGGAAGGAGGGGGGTTGAAGGTGAAGTTGCCCCATTGGCCCCTAGAAAAGAGAAGAAGTTGTCTTGCCAAATGAAAGGGAGGCTCTGTTTTTTAGATGCAGGATTTCTGCAACTAAGCAGGGCAGCCAAATGTTGGACTCCGGATTGTGAATCTTCCAAAGGAACATTAGACGTGGCTGTACAGGACCATTCCTCTACTTTACTCTGAAACATCTATAACAGTGGTTCTCAACCTTCCTTAACACAGTTCCTTATGTTGTGGTGACCCCCAACCATAAAATTATTTTCATTCCTACTTCAGAACTGTAATTTTGCTACTGTTATGAATCGTTCACTGGACCAAATTTGGCACAAATACCCAATACACCCAAATTTGAATGCTGGTGGGGTGGGGTGGGGGGTGTTTTTGTCATTTGGGAGTTGTAGTTGCTGGGATTTATAGTACACCTATAACTCTGAACTCCACCAATGATGAAATTGAACCAAATGAACCAAACTTAGCACAAAGAACTGCCATGAAATTACTGGAGGGGTTTGGTGGGCATTGACCTAGGGTTTTGGAGTTGTAGTTCACCTACATCCAGAGAGAACCGTGGACTCAAACCATGATGGATCTGAACCAAAGTTGGCACGAATACACAATATGCCCAAATGTGATCACTGGCAGAGTTTGGGGAAAACAGAGCTTGACATTTGGGAGTTGTAGTTGCTGGGATTTATAGTTCACCTACAATGAAAGAGAATTCTGAACCCCATGAACGATAAAATTGGGCCAAACTTCCTACACAGAACCCCCATCAACAACGGAAAATACTGTGTTTTCTGATGGTCTTTGGCGACCCCTCTGACACCCCCTTGCGACCCCCCCCCCAGGGGTCCTGACCCCCAGGTTGAGAAACCCAGATCTATAACAACTAGGAGCAACTCTGCAGAGATTCGATCTGATACCTTTTCCACTCTTACCTGGCTACAACCCACTTGCTGTGGTGTCAGGAGAAATATCATAAATCTCACCCAGAGCTTGGAAAGTTACTTGTTTGAATGCAAAAGTAACATTTCCAAATGGATCTCACTGGAACGGGGAAAACTTGGAGGTTTTGACATCTGCTGAAAACTAGGAAAATGGGGCTTACATACCTGTGGAATAATGTCCAGGGTGGGAGAAAGAACTCTTGCCTGTTTGAGGCAGGTGTGAATGTCGTTAAGAACTTAGGTGTCGTTTTGGATTCGCAGCTGACAATGGAAGCTCAGGTCGCTGCTGCCAGCAAACAGGCCTTTTTCCATCTACAACAGTGGTTCTCAACCTTCCGAATGCCGCGACCCCTTAATACAGTTCCTCATGTTGTGTTGACCCCCCCAACCATAAAATTACTTTCGTTGCTACTTCATAACTGTAATTTTGCTACTGTTATGAATCATAATATAAATATCTGATATGCAGGATCTATTTTCATTCACTGGACCAAAGTGGGTCCAGTGAAGGATACGCCCAAATCTGAATATCTGATACGCCCAAATCTGAATACTGCTGGGGTTGGGGGGGGGGGAGGTGATTGAGTTTGTCATTTGGGAGTTGTAGTTGCTGGGATTTGTAGTTCACCTACAATCAAAGAGCATTCTGAACTCCACCAACGATGGAATTGAACCAAACTTGGCATAGATGACTCCTGTGACCAACAGAAAATACTGAGAGGGTTTGGTGGGCATTGACCTTGAGTTTGGGAGTTGTAGTTCACCTACATCCAGAGATCACTTTGGATTCAAACAATGACGAATCTGGACCAAACTTGGCTCAATATGCCCAAATGTGAACACGGGTGGAGTTTGGGGAAAATAGACCTTGACCTTTGGGAGTTGTAGTTACTAGGATTTATAGTTCACCTATAATCAAAGAGTATTCTGAACTCCAACAATAGAATTGGGCCAAACTTCCCACACAGATCCTCCATAATCAACAGAAAGTACTGTGTTTTCTGGTGGTCTTTGGCGACCCCTCTGACACCCCCTCGTGACCCCTCCAGGGGTCCCGACCTCCAGGTTGAGAAACACTGATCTACGACAAGCGAGGCAATTGGCGTTCTACCTGTCGGATGAGGCTCTGGCAACAGTCATCCATGCCACGGTCACATCTAGGCTGGACTACCGTAACACCTTGTATGTTGGCCTTCCTATGTCTACGACCCAAAAGCTCTGTATTGTTCAAAATGCTGCAGCCAGGTTACTCACAAAATCGC